TATAATAAAAACTCAAAAATTTTCATGTAACAGTTTAACCTAAAATAGAACACTTTAAGTTCACTTTGTTTTCCTGGCTTTTTTCTTTTTTTACAAACTATTTAGCAACTATTAAATGCTGTATGAGGTTTATACAGAATATTCAGAAAAATATAAGGCGGCATCTAACCATGACTGCAAGAGGAAAGATTTAGTGGACTAAAGAGGAAGTAGTCTGGAGGTAGAAATGGAAAGTTAGGTTACTGTCAAGAAAGGCCTGAACTGTAGAAGTAGGGATTTCTCCTAATCCTATACAGGGTCACTTTGCTGTGCAGGTGTGAAAGAGCACATTAAGTAAGAACCAAAAAGCACCCATGGAGTGCCTAGTCAGTTTGCAGGTGTGCACGAGAGGGAGGGCAAGGCTGCCTGGGAAGCAAGAATACCTAGACAGAAGAGAGGAGGGTTACCTGGTATTGGTTTTACTCCCTCCTCTGGAACATAGATGCCATCTACGGGGGATTAGGCAGACCCCTCTTTGGAAAACCGGAGAGGTGGAACCACAAGCTTCCTACTTAGAGTCCCCATTTCTCTGAGATGCCCACTTCAGTGTGTTCTGGAATGATTCATGTGAGAAATTTCCTTCCGTCAGTCCCTCACTTACCTTGAAATCCTGTGCATCCTGGGTTTTTACATCTCGCCTCCAAGGACTCCTTGCCAAAACAAGTGTGTTTTTCTTAGCCTCTTAATCTCTCCTGGCCCATATACTCCTTAAAAAGTATTTTCTTGTGCTTTATACAGTAGTGCATGTTTTCCTATCCTTCTGTATTTTTACTTTGGAAGAATTTTTAATTAAAAAAATCAAATATAAAGTCTCCTTTCACATCTTTCTTGCTCTATAAACTTCTATATAGATCTTTTTGAAAAATATTTTACAAAAAAAATTAAAAATACCCAGATTGCATGTGTATTGTTTTGCCTCTTTAAAAATTCACTGTATCTTTTCCTGTTAATGATGTAGATCATTTCTAAAACTGTGTAACATTTCACATGAATGTAGGATAATTTACCTATTCACTGATGATATTCAAGTGTCTAATTATTCACAACTATATGCTGCAATGACTATTCTGCTACAACTGATTAATTTATTAAGATTTTACAACTGGATATACAAGTCACCCAAGTATTCAATGTATATTTAGGATTTTGACAGTGCCAAATTGTCCTTGGGTCACACCAATTTAATCTCTCACCAGCACAGTATTTTGTTTAGTCAACCTCTTCCAATAGACATTATCCATCTTTTAGTTTTTATCAATGATGTGCAAAGAGCATTCTCATGAGTTTGAGTATCTTTTGTTAATTTGCTTTTTTCAAATTGATGTCAAGTAATACAACATTCATTAGTTTCAGGTGCACTTGCTTTTGGTATTTTTAATTATCTCTGCACATTACTTTTCTGGAGTGATTCTCTCAGACTTGATAATAAACCTTGCCTACCTAATTTCAACGTCATGGTAGCATACCTTGTAGCTTTCTAAATGTTTATAAATTTTCTGTGGTCTTTGGGGATAGTATTGCTTAGGAAGGCCTTCCTAAGATGTATAAGACAACCTTTAATTCTGCTGAAATTTTTGTATATGGAAATGAAGAGCCTACATTCCTGTATTTGAAATGCCACCTCTATAATGAACATACATGAGATTTCTGAATTCTAGTTTGTTCCATTAACTGAATTGTCCAGTCCTATTCCCACACCTCCCTGTTCTAAATACTCTAGCTTTGTAGTTCTGATGTGTATTTGGGTTCTCATACTTAAACATTTTGGTTAGTCTCGCATATACATTCTTTCGGATAAATTTTAAAATCATTTTAAAAATGAGCCTGGGTAGCTCATTCAGTTGAGCATCCTTCTGCTTAGCTGTGATCCATGGTATGTCAGGCTCTGCACTGACAGTGCAGAGCCTGCTTGGGATTCTTTCTCTGTTCCCCCTGCCCCAACACCCGTTCAAAATAAATGAACTTAAAAAAAACCCAAAACCTCAAAGAAAAGTAAAACTATCTTGATCTTCACTAAAAATTGTTAATGTTTTTCCTTGAAATGCAACAAATTTATAATATGAGGTGAATCTTATCGTTACAATGCTGAGCCTATTCATGTAGGGACACAGCATTATTTTTCCATTTATTTTGATCTTCTTTAACACCCATAAATGAAATTTTATGGTTTTTTGATTTAGGTTTTCCTTATTTCTTGATAGATTTCTAAAATATTTCACCACTGTTGCTGTTAATGTGAATGAGTTCCTTACATTTAAAAGTTGATTATTCTATAGTGTATAAAAAAATCTTCTGAATGTTGCTGAGAGCTTACTATCTTCCTTCCAATGTTTAATAGTTTTTTAGTTGTCTTAGACTTTCCAGATAAAATTATCATATATCTTAATTTCTTCCTTTCCGATTTCATACCTTATCTTACTACACAGGATCCCAAATTCTCAGAACAATCTAATTGCAGGAATGAGAGCAGATAACCTAGACCATGACACTAAGTGTGTTTATTTCTGGTTGATACCCTTCATCTAGTTAAGCTTCCTTTTGTTACTTGCTTAATATTTTTTAAAAAATCAGTAATTTTCAGTATCAATTAAGATTATATAGTTTCTCTTCTTCAATGTAGAAAATTCTCATCACATGTCTTATGTTGACCATCCATGACCATAACCCAACTTGGTTATGTTGTTCTCTAAATGTACTGCTGGCTTCATAGTTTCCTTAAGTTTTTTGCATGTATATTCATAAGCCTCACTGCACTGTTCTTTTTCCCCCCAGTATCCTTGTTTAGACTCTGTTACTGTTCTGCTACCTTCATAGTTGGGATATACTACATTTTCTATGCTTTGTTCCTGGTGACTTTTGTCAGGGATATGTAGGGCATTCTTTTATGCTTCTTTTATTAAAGTTTTCTAACTCGAGTCAATTTTTTGAAATCCATATTTTCCCAGAAAATTGTCCAAGGCAATTTTCAAGATTAGCCTGTAATTAGCCTATAAGGCTATGCTAAATTCACTTCTAATTTTGGAGGTCCCTAATATCCGCAATATGTGCCCTTTGTTTCCAATATTGTTTTCTCCTTTTCTTCTTTAGATTTGCTAAGGGTCTATTCATTCTTATTTTCAAACAGCAGCTACTATTATCAATTTTATTTTCCATTTCATTAATATCTGCTTTTATTTTTAATTCCTTTTAAGTTTATTTTGGGAGATTTTATTTTTTCTGCTTCTCTGTTTTCTTTTCTGATCCTTCCTGCCATGTGTGTATCTGTTAAGGATGTGCTGACCTGCAGTGAAGTTATTCACATAACACAGCAACAAATGAAGCCTTTACCGTTAGCCTACGTAGCCTATTCAGATTACAAACTCTGTATTCATCTGGAGTCAGAGTGGGTTCCAATTCCCCACTTCCTACTTTAGTGAACTTGGCCAAATGTGAGCAGTTTCCTCATCTGTAAAACAGAAATAATAATACAGATTAAGTTTGAAACTATTTCCAAATCATTTAGCATAGACACTGGCTCCTATTAGTAACTCAATATATGTCTGGTAAGACAAAACAGCTCAGTTGCCCTATTTCTAAAAGTAAGGGGATTGGGATGACTAATCCCAAATTCCCTCCCAACTGTGAAAAAGTTTCAGTCTATCAGTTCATCCACCAGACAATCAACTGATCATCAAGCCACCCACTAACCCACACCACTGTTACTAAGCCCTCCACTTGAAAGAGGTATTCCAAATGTCAGGAACAAAGACGAATAATGAAAACTCACCACTTTTCAGAAGCTCAGAGTCCTTGGGGTGAAGATCAACTGTTAAACAGTAATTATAATGTGATAAGTGATCTAATAAAAGTCTGTGGAAATTCAGAGATTTTGAGAAGTATGTGCAGCACAATCAAAGATCTAGGTTGGAAACCTAATTCAGGTACTTAATACTAAGCTGTGAATCTTCAGGCAATTAACGTTGATGCTTTATTTTTCTTTCTGTAAAAAGGAAGAGTAATACTGTCCTGGTAGGTTAAGGAGTAAATAAAGAAAATGACTATAAAGTACTTAGCAAAGTGCCAGAGTCACATGAACTCAGCAAATGGCAGTTGTTAATATTACAAGAGGCTATGGAAATTAAAGAAAGCCAACTTACTGTACTTAAAGAGAAGAAATGATAGGGTCTGGGGAATGTCCCAAATGTGTTTACAGAACAAAATCCGAGGATGGGGGGAAAAAAAAACCCAGACTGAAAGAGTAATCAAAGTGATGCCCTTAAAGAATAGAGAATTCTAATTTTTGTATTCTCTGCTGCTAGCACTAAATCCAACGCACGCATTCCTTCTCTGCTGTTTAGTAGGCTCCACGCCCACGGTGAGGTTCCAACTCAAGACCCAGAGACCAAGAACCCTGGGCTCTACCGACTGAGCCACCCAGGTGCCCCCGAACTGTATTTTCAATAAAGAGCGAATAGAAGAATATCCGTTAAATAATGAGGTCAGAGAAATAAAAGATTTGGGCTGAACTGTTGAAAGCAAACATTGTACATTAAAGGGAACCTAGGAGTTAGAGTCAGGAACCCTGGAGCAGTCTTTTGACTACTGACCTGTGTTTATACTGGCTCCTCAACTTACCTGTTTGGCTTTAGCAAATTACTGATACCTTGAGTCGCCTCAAGTACAAAACAGGGATCACACCTACCTTACAAAATTATTCTGAGAATTAAGTACCAAGCAATTATCCAAGAGCCTGGCACTAATAAAACATTCAATAATGAAAGCGGCTGCAGCTAATTTCTCCTTTGGGTTTTTCTCTATACCTGTGAAATGACAGGGTAAAAACAAATTTCCTCCAGTGTTCCAACAAGCACTGAAAATTATACTAGATTTGCCAAGGACGAAGAAAGGCCCCGCCCGGCCCGCGCCACACAGGTCACCTACGCAAACTGCAGTCCCGGAGCCCGCACCTGCGTCGCTGAGCCATGGAAGGCGTGATCGATACCAGGCCGTTAGAGACACGGGGCCTAGATAGGCTGCATGTGAGACCGAGAGGAATCTCAAAAACCCAGTCCACACCACCGTCCGATTTCTCTAGAGGCGAAGCCTTGAGAAAGGTTGAGGGGAGGCCGGAAGTGACGCACGGTCGTGAGGAACCGGACATGACCGCAGCACGCCGGAAGTTTACCCGTTTCCAAGGCAACGGCTCCAGCACGGCTGCAACCCGTTAGCTGTAGTCGAGACGCTGGAAAGCACCTCGGAGGAGAGGGTAGCAGCCGACGGCGGCCGCCGCCAGAGCGACTCGTGGGGAATAGCAATCGAAGACGGCGGCCGCCTCACTAATCGTCGCGTTTGGAGGACAAACGGCCGACACGCTCATCGCGGCGGCCAGTTAAGGGAAAGAGTTAGCGAAGACAGGGAAAGAATCCGTGAAGACGGCGGCCGCCTCTGTAGGGGCTCTACGGGAAGCGTGAGTGAAGACGTCGGCTTCTCCCGCACGGACTCGAGGAGGGTCAATGAAGACCTGGGCTGTGTCTCATGGGAGAGAGTTAGGGGAGATGGTGGCCGCTGTCACAGCACCTCCTGGAAGAGATTAAGAGACCGCGGCTTCAGCAGCAGCGACGTGTGTTTAAGTGAGGTCGGCAGCCACCAAACTAGTGACTGTGAGGGCCCGGTCCGAGAAGACCGCGGCCTCCGCTTCAGAGATTCTTGGGAGGGAGTCAGAGAAGTCCCGGGTCCCCAAACCAGCGACTCCGGGGAGAGGGGCAGTGACTACCGCAGCCGCCCCCTCAGTGACTCTTGGGAGGAAGGGAGTGTCGATGGCGGCCACAGCCTCAGTAATTCTTGGGAGGGAGTAAGTGAAGATCGCGGCTACGCGGCCAGCGACTCCTCTGCGGTGAGCGTCAGCATAGACGCCAGCCGCTGCCTCAGTGGCTTCTGGGAGAGAGAAAGTATAGACGAGGGTTCCCGCTGCGGGAGCTCCTGGGAGAGAACCAGGGAGGACGGCGGCCCTGGTCCGAGCGACGACGAAGGGGGTAGCCACTGCAGTGGGTCGTGGGTGACAGCGAGTGAAGATCGCCGTAGCAGCAGGGGCTTGGACTCGATTCCTCCTGGAAGTCCGCAGGATCGCACCATGCCTGGGGTGTCAGATTCAGGCCCCTCCACCTCCTCTAGGGAGACTGCAATCCCATGTGAGTCAGACTACTTCGCTTGCCCTTGTCTCTACCACTCTTGTCACTTCACCCACATCACCGTTGGCCGTTTGTGGTAGTTTCCGTTCTCAGCTGTTACTCCTAATTTCCAATTTGCCTATTTTAGGTGGGTCTCAAAGCTGTTCACCTGTTTCTCATTCTCCCTCCAGGTCTCCTCACTTTCTTTCCACCTGCAGTATTCCTGAGACTTCCTGAAACATCAATACTTGTTAAATCTTATGGACCGTTGGCTTCTCTGCAGCATTTGACCCTGTGAAGATGACTTTAGATTTACCTCGTTTTCTTCCTTCCGCTCTACTGACTCTAGCTTTCCTTTTGATGACTTTTCTACCATCCTCTCCTTAAATGCTGTCCCCTCCCCCCCCCCCCCCCATAGAGCCATCACTGATGGTTTTGTTTTTGTTTTTGTTTTTCCTGGTCCTTTATTATGACTTCAACCCTGTTGAAATCTTTGTTATTCAACCATCCAGTAAATATTTATTGACGGCTTACTATTTGCTGTATCTTAAGGATATATCAGTGAAGAAGACAGACACCTTCCTTACCTTTTAGGAGGAAAAATAAATACTGGGAAAATAATGGCTAGCGTGATGAATATTATAAAGACGAGTACAGTGTCTGGCTTCAGAATGGGCTGAGGGTAGGTATCAGAAAAAACTATGAATACTGAGAGACACTGAGATCTGCCACAGACAAATATATACAGCTCCCTTCTGGAACTTTCTTTGGCACCTCAAGATCAACATGTACAAAACAGGATTTTGTGTCTATATAGCCTCTCTATCTTCTGTTTTACCTGCATGGTAATCAAGCAGGTAAAATAGACACCTTGGAGTCATCCCTTTATGCCTTCCTTATTTCACCCACTGTATGCATCCTATTTCCATACTTGTTGAATCTATCTCCTTTTCTATTCCTGCTGTCACTCTTTTAGTTAGAGTGTTTCAGCCTCTTTGGGTGGACCACTGTAGCTTCTTACAAGGTCTTCCTCAGTCTCTAGTCTTACCTTTTTGCTTCCCTTCAGCAGTAGGATGGCTGTGTGTGTGTGTGTGTGTGTGTGTGTGTGTGTGTGTGCGCGCGCGTGCGCGCCCGCGCGCACTTTCTTGATCACATCCTACCATTCATGTTGTCTAGGGTGCCTTTCTCTTTCACTATTTTATCTGGCAAACTCCTGCTAATCCTTGAAGATTAATCGTAGATCTCATTTCCTTCTACTCTGGCTGAATTAGAATTCTTCTGTGCTTCCATTAGTTCTTATGAATATTTCTGTCATTGCTTTTACTACATTATTTTATAACTTTTGTTTGTATCTTTGAGTTCTTTGAGGATAGAGACTATGTTGCCTTCGTCCTTTTATCTTTATGGTAGACACCAAATTAATGTTGAGTGGATACATGAGTGGGTGAATGAATGAATGAATTGGGATGGAATGTGGTGGGGGAAAAAGGCTGTAAAGTTAGATGTAGCCAAATTAGTGGAAGACATAGATTGTCCTCCTGAGGGTGTGGCCTTTGTTCTCTAGATTAGAAGTGGATAACCAGATGTAGTTAGTGGAACAGAGGCATGGAGTGATCAGAATAGTGTCCTTGCACACAATGGATTAGAATGTTCCTGTATAAAATGGATTAGAGTGGGTAAAACATCATTTGCAGATTTTGTACTACTAGTTAAAAGGAGAATAATGAAGGTCTGATCAAGGGATTACATCGTTAAGCAATTATTAAATTATTAAAAGGCTTGGTGATTTTGGGTGCCTTCCTTTCTCCCTTCCCCATATGCATATATGTTCTTCAAGGTCTTGGTCAAATGTTTACTCCCCCAACGTCTTAATTTTACCTATACTCACTTAAGGCAACACTGTCGGGTTTTTTAAAAATTGTATTGAATTTGTCCAAATAGATTTTTAAATGGAAAGAAAATGTATTAGATCCATGTCCATTTGCCATCATATTATCTTAGTGCCTGGCATGGGTTAGATGCTCCTAAAGGATTTTGAGTAAAATGTATATACCATTTTGCTAGGGGGTGGTGTAAGATACAATTCCAGCCCTCAAAGAAATTAACATTTGAGTTGTGGAGAAAGGACATACACACGGATTAGTAGTAGTAGAAAACTGCATAGATTATCTATGCAGAAATGTTGGTGAGTTCTTTTGAAAGCAGTTTGAGGTCATGTGAATCATGCCTCTTTGTTTAGCAAATGCTTTGATTAAGCTCTCTTCCTCCTCCAACAACTGTTCATGCTGAGATATCTTTATTGCTTCTGGCTTATCCTACACATGAAATATTTCACAGTCACAATGCAGTCTTGATGTTTGGAACATTAAATTGTAAAATATAAGACCACTAGAGTTTATGAAGTAAAAATTGTGACCTGCCATTCCTTTCTTAGTGTAGTACATATGAGAAAGATAAGAAAAGTATATTGATAGAATGTATCAGCCTATGTGAGGTAAGACTCTGATAAAATCTTTGTCACTGGAGAGTAGGCTCTGTTACAGAGGATGGGCTGGGTGTATTTCAGAATCGTTACTTTCCCCCTTCCCCTGCTGAAGACATGAAGTGATTCTTCTTGACTTTTCACAGTGATAGCCTGGTGGGATTTACCCTGGTGGGATAAAATCTGTGAAAATGTGGGGGCCTTCTAAGACTGTGGCTTCAAGAGTTTTTCCACTCATAGAATAATACTTGCCCAACTTCTAGCAGTTTGTCACAATTGCTGTTTCAATGCTTCTAGAAGTTTATGGCTCCAGTGGCTTCTGCTCCAGGTAAGCAGAACTTGTTTGTGCTTTTGTATTTCTGTGTCTCTCCAGACTTGAGAAGGCAGTTGGCTTTGAGACCGTAGTTCTCTGATGAGTCCAAGAAAAGTTGTTGATTTAACTTTTAGATAGTTCCTGTACCTATGTGAGTGACAACTTCACTGCTCTTTATGTATTAGAGCTGAAATGGAAGTCTGATTAAGATGTTAACAACAAATATGTTTGTAATAAATTATTTGGAAAGCAAAAGTGATTTTGTGTTTTCTTTTGTTCTATTGAATTGCTTTATGCTTTTTTGTGTGTGTGTAATATATTTTAAGCAATTTTTCAATAGGTGCCCGGAAGAAGGTGCATTTTAGTAACGTACATGATGCAGTACGGGCAGGAGATGTGAAGCAGCTTTCAGAAATAATAGAACGTGGGGCCAGCATTAATGAAGTTGACATTCTCCATAAGTTTTCCCCTTTACACTGGGCAGCACATTCTGGAAGTTTGGAGGTAAGAAGCTATATAAATTATTAAGCTGAAGTAAGTTTACAGCTGTTAGCAGTTTTCAAGATTTGGCAAGTAATACTGAGACTTTATGCTAGGCATTTGAAATATTTTTCTTTTTCCTTTTTTTTTTAAAGTTTGTTTGTTTGTTTATTTATTTATTTATTTATTTATTTACTTTTGAGAGCTAGGGTGTGAGTCGGGGAGGGGCAGAGAGGGAAGGAGAGAGAAGATCCCAAGCAGGCTCTGTACTGTCAGAGCCCTACACAGGACTCAAACCCACAAACTGTGAGATCATGACCTGAGCTGAAATCAAGAGCCTGATGCTCAACAGACTTAGGCCCCCAGGCACCCTGGAAGTATTTTTCTTTTCAGTTCATTGTGTTATTTGTTGTTCTGGTTACTCTGCCTTAATAAAAAATTATCCCCAAAGTTAGTGGCATAAAATAACCATTTATACTCAAGTGAGTCAAGAATTTGGATCTCAGGAATAGCTCGTCTCTGTTTCACCATGTCTGGGATTTCAGCTAGAAGATTCAAATACTGAGGCTGGAATCTTCTGAAGGCTTGTTTGCGCAGATGGCTGGTGGAGGATGCAGGCTATAGGCTGGCCACCTTAATTCCTCTCCATGTGAACTTTTATGTGATGTCTCTCCACCTGGGCTAGTTTGTGATTTCTCACAACGTGGTGGCTGAGTTCCAAAGGCAAGCCTGGAGGTAACTTACAGAGAGTAACATACAAATACCTAGTTTATCAAATCTTAACATTTTTGCTCGAGTTACTTTAGATTTTTAGAAAATAAATGGAGGGGCGCCTGGGTGGCTCAGTCAGTTAAGTGTCTGACTTTGGCTCAGGTCATGATCTCAGGATTTGTGGGTTTGAGCCCCGCTTCGGGCCCTGTGCTGACAGCTCAGAACCTGGAGCCTGTTTAGATTCTGCGTGTGTCTCTCTCTCTCTCTCTCTCTCTCTCTCTCTCTCTCTCTCTCTCTCTCTGTCTGCCCTTCCCCTACTTATACTCTGTCTCTCTACTTCAAAAATAAATATTTAAAACAAAACGAAAGAAAAATAAATGGAATATCACAGATGTACTTTAAGTCTCGGGTGCCATTCCTCTCCTAACAACTCCAGAAATAACTATTACCCTAAATTTGGTGTTTAATATTCCCATGTAGGGGTGCCTGTGAGGCTCAGTCAGTTGAATGTCCAACTTTTAATTTCGGCTCAGGTCATAATTCCAGGATCATGGGATTGAGCCCCATTCAGTGTGGAGCTTACTTGGAATTGTCTCTCTCTCTCTCTCTCTTTCTTTCCTTCTCTCTCTCCCTCCCTCCCTCCCTCTCTCTGCCCCCTCCCCGCTCTTGCACATGCTTTCCCTTTCTCTCTCCTTCAAAATAAATTTTAAAAATTCCATCTATATTTTATGTTATTACATGATTATATCATTGTTTTTAATATTTTATATAAATGATATACTATGTATCATCCTGCAGCTTTTTGTGTTTAAAAATGTGTTTTTGAGTCTTAACTATGTGATTGCATTTATATACTCCATTTCTTTCAGGCATGTTATAATAATGTATTCTTAGACTAATATCAGAACTTAACCATTTTTCTATTGATGGATATTTAGTTGGTTTCAATTTTTAGCTAGTACAAACAGTGCTTGTGAATATTTTTATGCAAAAAATTATTCTTGGGTAGTGCACAAAGCCAACTGCACTTTTTCCTCATGATTAGAGATTATAGGTGGAGAACTTATTTTAGTTACTACGTTTCCCTAGCCTATAGGCTGTAGTAGGTCTGCTATGAAGTGTTTGGTTTTTTCCCCTGCCACACAGAGACTACTTTCTATGAAAATGGCTTCTCTCTGTGATTTCTTGTTTGTTTGGGTTTCTCTGCTTCTCAAAACCAAATCTGGTCCAGAGAATGTCTCTGCCAGTTGGTGTGTCCCACTTGAACTTCTGTAAACAAGGATTTTTGTTTTGGCCTTTTAGTGGCTTCCTCTTACCTAGGAGGTATGTGCCTTGACGGTCTATCTGATTTGTAGCCCTGGGTGAGTATGTTCTCTGTTTCCCTCCATATTCCTCTTGGATCTACACTTCGGCAGCTTTCCCAGATGTTTTGTAGCTTCAGATGTCTTTGTTTCATCAAGGATGGGGTTTTCTTCCTATTTTTCTTGCCCCACCCCCCTTTTTTTAAAATGATGTTGAGTAGAGTGGGATTTCCTCTCTTTCCTGGAATCCTTTCAGTCTTTCTGATTACTCCCAGTCTTCTTTGGTCAACCTCCTCTGCCTATTCTATAAATAATAGTATTTTTTATACTCCAGGCCGTCTTTTAGCATACTTTGGCTTTATCACTACTACATAATAATTTATTGATTTGCCTTCTCTTTTGAACTCTGCTGATGTATCAGGTGCTTGATCAACAACAGCTAATGCGCATCTGACTGGATCTCAAATGAGTCTGAAACTAAACCAGGACTCTTTTCCCTCCCTTTCTTAGCTGTCCAGGCTAATGACTTGGCATCATTATTGCATTGTCTCCATTTTTTTTTTTTTCCAGAAATGAAACACAACATCGACATTTGTCTGAAGGTGCAGTTGATAATGCAGTGAGAACTGATCACTAGGTCATTGATTTTGTTCCATCTTTGTCTCCTGAGTTTGTCTTCTCCATCCTCGTAGCCACTGCTTTAGATCTAATTGATTTTCTTCTTTGCTGTCTCATCCACCTTTAGTTCATATTCATTATAAAGTTATCATTGTAAAACTCCTGTCTGATGTTACTTGAGACCTTTCTTAAGTTTGTGTAGTTTTTATACCATAGGAATGCAAGCTATTTAATACAAGAGACTTCTCTCTCCAACCTCATCGGCCATCATACTTGTTTTATTCTGTAATACTGGTGACTATTGTCATTTCCCAAACTAGCCTGCTGTTCCATGTTATCCTAGACGTTACACATGATGTTTTCTCTGCCTAGTCTCACCTCTTGCTTCTGGTTACTTGGTTGAAATCCAGGTCAGGCAGCTCCCACTTGGCAAAACTTTCTCCGTTTCCCCTCTCAGCATTCCTCAGTAAGCTACCTAGGAGCTACCCCTAAATCATACACATATTTTTAAAATTGTATTTTTTTGTATTTATCACATTGAATTGTTCACTTTGAATCCCTTTTACATTTTGATCTCTTTGAAGGTACCATTTGGGTTTTAGTCCTCTTTTTTTTCAGCATCTGGCATATTGTATTCTCAATAAATGTTTGCTGTAGAGCTGAATTTGCTGAATTAAATTTATATATATGTATATATGCATATAATATATGCATACATATATATATATGTGTATTTTTAAAGTTTTATTTTTCGGGCGGCCTGGGTGGCTCAGTTGGTTGCATGTCTGACTTCGGTTCAGATATGATCTCATGGTTTCTGGGTTCGAGCCCTGCGTCAGGCTCTGTGCTGACGGCTCAGAGCCTGAAGCCTGCTTCATATTCTATGTCTCCCTCTCTCTCTGCTCCCCCCTGCCCCAGCTTGTGCTCTATCTCTCTCTGTCTGTGAAAAATAAGTAAATGTTAAAAAAATTAAAAGATTTATTTTTCAAGAGAGAGAGCACAAGCACATAAGTGGGGAGAGGGGCAGAAGGAGGGAGGGAGGGAGGGAGACAGAGAGAGAGAGAGAGAGAGAGAGAGAGAGAGAGAATCTCAAGTAGACTCCAAGCCCAGCACAGAGATGATGTGAAGTTTGATCTCACAAACCTGGGTTCGAGACCTGAGCCAAAATCAAGAGTCAGATGCTTAACTGACTGAGCCACCCAGGTGTCCCTTAAATTTATATTTTAAGTGTTAGCATAGTACATAACAGATATTCTAGAAATGTTTGTTGAATTTTAATAAAAGTGAATTAAACCATAACATTTTGGGTACCTTTTCATTTAAAAATCATCCCCTAATTCTCTATTTGAGTACTACATTAATGCTTTTACATTTTGTTATACTTTCTGAAATTTCCTAAGGCTGTGGTACTTACGTTGGTAATATAAAATAATCACTAGAAAAACAAGTAGTGAAAAATATGCTTCATTAGACTTCATCTTTTTTTTCTTCTGTGAAATGAAATCAGTTCTTGAGCCCTTATGGTAAACTTTTTATTTCAGATATATTTTTTACTTCTAGGATTTCTTTTCCTTCTTTTTTAAAAAATAATTTGTGTCTCAGTATATTTTCTTTTTTGTTTTTCATTTTCTGCAATTGTATTACATCTTTCACATTTTAAAGTTAACTTGAAACTATAATAGCATTTCATATATTTGGATAGGAATCAATATTTTAATATTTATTCATGGACACAATAAAATTATTCAAAATTAAATCTTAATGTACTATAATTGAACAATATTCTCAAAAACAGATATTTATAGTTTTATTAGAATTCATATAATTCATTTTTATCCACAACTTTGAAATTGAATTGTTTGCCAAACATAGCATGAATTAGGCATAACTTTAATTCAGTTAATACATTTTTATGAATGTGTATTTATTTTTATTAAAGATTTTGTCAAAAATTTTTTTAATGTTTATTTTTGAGAGAGAGAGACAGTATGTGAGTGGAGGAGAGGCAGAGAGAGGGAAACAGAATCTGAAACAGGCTCCAGGCTCCAAGCTATCCGCACAGAGCCTGATACAGGGCTTGAACTCAGGTACTGCAAGATTATGATCTGAACTGAAATTGGACACTTAACGAACTGAGCCACCCAGGCATCCCCCCCAGTTTTTTTTTTTAATAAGTGCTCACTTTTTTTTTAATGTTTATTTTTGAGAGAGAGAGGCAGAGAGAGAGGAAGACAAAGAATCCAAATCAGGCTCCAGGCTCTGAGCTGTCAGCACAGAGCCTGACGCAGGACTCTAACCCATGAACTGCAAGATCATGACCTGATCTGAAGTTGGACACTTAACAAACTGAGCCACCCAGGTGCCCCTTTTAGTTTTTTAAGTAATCTCTACACCTAACGTGCGACTTGAACTTGCAACCCTAACAAGATCAAGAATTGCATGCTCCACTGACTGAGCAAGCCAGGCTTCTATGTGTGTGTGTGTGTGTGTGTGTGTGTGTGTGTGTGTGTGTGTATAAAATTGTTTTTATAAGTATACTCTTTAATCCCTATCACCTATTTCAACCACTCCCTACCCACCTCCTCTCTGATAACTATCAGTTTGTTGTCTATAGTTATGAATCTGTTTCTTGGTTTGTCTTCTCTCTTTTTTTCCTTTGCTCATGTGTTTTGTTTCTTAAATTCCACATGTAAGAGAGATCATATGTATTTGTTTTTCTCTGACTTATTTCTCTTTGATGAGTCATTGTCATCATACTTTAATTCTTTTTTTAAAAATGTTTATTTACTTTGAGAGAGAGAGTGCATGCACAAGCAGGGAAGGTACAGAGAGAGAGAGGAGAGGGATCCCAAGCAGGCTCCACACTGTCAATGCAGAGCCCTACATGGGGCTGGAGCTCACAAAATGGAAGATCATGAGCTGAAATCAAGAGTCAGGTGCTTAACCAGCTGAGCCACCCAGGTGCCCCTCCTTTAATTCTTTAAATATAAATTCTTTCATTTTTATTTATTTATTTTTTTTTTAAAAAGACAAAGACCATGCAAGTTGGGGAGGGGCAGAGTGAGAGGGAGACAGAAAATCCCAAGCAGGGTCTGCCAGTACAGAGCCTGACGTGGGGCTTGAAGTCACAAAACCTTGAGATCATGGCCTGAACTGAACTCAAGAGTTGGATGCTTAACTGACTGAGCCACATAGGTGCTCCCCAAATTAAATTATTTTAAAAAGAATTCCTTTTAGTTTTCCAAAACTATTTATAATAACTGCTTTGAAGTCATGTTAAGTCCAACACTGGGCCCTCTCAGAGATAGTTTCTGGTGATCATTTTTTTTTCCTGTGTATGGGTCACACATTCTTTTCTTGTTTGTATACATCTCAATTTTTTAGTTTGCCTAGACATTTTTTTAAATGTTTTATTTATTTCTGAGAGAGAGATAGTGTGAGCAGGGGAGGGTCAGAGAGAGAGGGAGGGAGACACAGAACCTGAAGCTAGCTGAGCTCCAGACTCTGAGCTAGCTGTCAGCACAAAACCCGATGTGGGGCTCGAACCCACGAACCGTGAGATCATGAGCTGAGCCGAAGTCCGACGCTTAACTGACTGAGCCACCCAGGAGCCCCGCTGAATGGCAATTGGATGGCAATTGAGCACATGACAACATGTTCAACATCATTAGCCATTAAGGAAAAGCAAAATAAACCAACAGATGCCACTACCCTGTTAGAATGGCAAAACAAAAACAAAAAAGTTACTACCAAGGGTTGACAAGAATATGGAGCAACTGGAACTCTTGTACGTTGCTAGCAGAAATGTAAAATGGTATGGCCTCTTTGGAAAACAGCTTGGCAGTTTCTTATAAAGTTGAACATATACTTACCTATGTTCTAGCAATCCTACTTACACATATTTACCTAGGAGAAATATAAAACCTATACATGAGTTTGCAGTGGTTTTATTCTTCTGTAACTTAATGGTGTTAGCATATAGTAGTCTCTCCATAAATATTTGTTGATAAATAAACGACTTGCTGTGATTAGTAGTGATGTTGAGCCTTTTTTTGTCATCATATTTTATTGGTCATTTATCGCTATTACAGGCAAATGATACTAAATGTTAAAAGGCTTTCAACAAGTGATGCAGCTATAGCTGATGTGACAATATATCCCAATGATACAACCAATTCTTATTTTTTTTGAATTTTAAGTAGATTCCTACCCAATGTGGGGCTTGAACTAATGACTCTGAGATCAAGAGCTGCATACTCTACTGACTGAGACAGGTAGATGCCCCCCCACCAAATTCTTTAAAAAAAAAAAAAAACCAAAAAACTTCTCACAGATAGAATCTCCAAACTTGAACATATAAAGACAGTAATGCCATATGTGGCACAGAACTCTAATATTCTATTGAGATTTATGTTAATTAAAATAGTAAACAAAGATGCATTTGACCCTCACTCCATTTTTTTTTCCTCTTTTTTTAAATTTTTTTGAGTTTATTTTGAAAGAGTGAGAGAGAATGAGCGGGGGTAGGGCAGAGAGAAGGAGAGAGAGGTTTCCAAGCAGGTTCCACACTATCAGCACAGAGCCTGACACAGGAATAGAACTTACGAACTGTGAGATCATGACCTGAGCCTAAATCAAGACTTGGATGCTTAAGCAACTGAGCCATCTAGGTGCCCAACACTTGCCCCATTTTTTATATGCCACTTAAAAAAATTTTTTTAGAGAGCATCATTAGAATAACATCAGAATAACAATGTTTGCTCTGATACAGAAGCTTTTGAGCCCCTTTAAAGATCTATGACAGAGGTTGCAAATTGGCAGCCACTGAGTGAAAATGACTCACATATGTGGTTTTTTTGGTTTACACAGTATTGGTGTAATATTAGATTTGGATCAACATTTCACTTACAGCAACAACTGGCTGGGATTAAGTAGCATTTACATTTTTTGGACAAGGAATGTGATCTCCAATTTGACATAGCTCCCACCATTCCCTAATGTTTACCCAATAATAAGGGCAAGTGGGGGTTACCATATCATTGTTCTTGTGCTTTTGTTTTTCATAAAATTATCCCTCTCATTTACTTAAGATGTTTTCTAGGCTGTAGTATGTCATGATAAGAGACTAAATTCCAAACATCTAGAGATGTTAATGGGGCACCTGGATGGCTTGGTCAGTTGAGCTTCTGACTCTTGATCTCAGCTCAGGTTTTGATCTCAGGGTTGTGAGTTCAGGCTCCACATTGGGCTCTGCACTGGGCATGAGGCCTACTTAAAACCCCCAAAAAACAAAACAAAACAAAACCACCCCCCCTCAAAAAACAAAGATCTAAAGATATTTTTAAAAATTTGTCCTATCACTTTTAACATGGTCATTTTCTTAATTTAGTGTCTTCATTGGCTCCTCTGGCATGGAGCTGATATCACACAAGTAACCATGAGAGGTTGGACAGCAGCTCACATAGCTGCAATCAGAGGCCAAGATGCTTGTATGCAGGTAATAATAACTTGGGTTACTTTTTAAAAAGTCAATAAGTTTAATTACTTTAGCATAGTTTTGTTGGGCTATTGCTTTCATTCTAATAATATGATCCATAGATTTAGTTCTTTGTCCGAAGCAAGAACTTACTGAATTCTATGACTCAGATATTTTGGTACCAAATAGAACTTAAACAAATTGTGTGAGACTGGGGAGTCTTTTATCTCTGAAGTAATTGGCTATCTGATAGGTTGTTTTAAGGGCTATCACAGAGATGCCCAGATTATCTTCTTTATAGCTTGCATCGTCTAATATTTCTTATTTAACATATATTTTTGGCCAGCATTACACATTAATATACGTAGGATCTAGCTTATTAGAGTAACTAGATATAATCAGTGTACTGCCATAAACTGGAATTTGGAGGAATACAAAATTGTGTAAGCAAACAAGAGCAAATAAAAGTAATGATTATCACTTTTCATGGACCAATTACAGTTTTCCATGCATCACCTCATTTAATGTAACAATCTTTTGAGTTCCTGTTTTATAGGTAATGAAAATGATTCAGAGACAGTAAGTGACAAAGCCAGGATGTGAGCTTAGATTTTATTCTATTAACCTCTATCTATAATTCTATGTAAAATACTGGAATTGGAAAAATTGCAGGTGTTCAAGGGATAAACTATTATATGAGTTTAAGCTGTAGATATTTTGTTGTATATTATTATGAATTAAGTTTGCATAGCCATAGAAGTAGAATAATGATTCATTTGTATAAGAAACTGTTTTATATGCATACTAATATATACTCCTACACATATACATAATGCATACTTATACATGCACATGGGTATTAATAGAGGAATGAAGGATTGAAAGCAGTATTTCAGGAAATTATTCTAACAAAAAGTATTCTAACAAGGTGTATCCAAGATGTATCTAGGATGAGGAGATTGTTTGGAGGCAAGAAGACCAGTTAGAGACTTTTGGTGTCATTACTACCTATAGAAGGAGAAATTTTATGGTGGCAGAGGGAAAGAAAATTGTTGAAAATATCTTGAAAAGTAGGCATTGACAGAGTAGAGTGAAAATTTAAATTCATTCAAAATTTATGTTAAAAATTAGATTTAAATTTAAATTCATTTAAGGCAGAATGACAGATAATTATGACACTACAAACACAGAAATCTGAAAGGCAGGGGAGATACAGGAGCAAAGATACTGAGTTCAATTTGGTACATATTATTTAGAGGCCCTGTAGGTCATTCATGTGCAGAAGGTCCAGGCAGCTGAAAAGGGTGCTGGAGACCAGGATTTCAGGAGTAATAAAGTATAGAGAAGAGAATAGAGTATTGAGGATTGAATTTTGAAGAATGTTACTAGCAGTAATGGTAGGAAGCAGAGAAATGAGCAAAGAATTGAAAGGAAGAAGTCAGAGATGGGAGAGCTGGGGTCCATTAGGGCTGTGCAGATGAAGAAGTGTAAAAAATTAGGCAGAGTATCACAGTTACAGCAGGAAGCTGAGAAAATCCCATTGGACGTGAGAGCTCACTATCAGGTGAGGTTTGCTGTATTTCCATGGAGTGTTAGGGATGGCACACAGTTTGCAGGGGAATTTGTAGTTGAGGCATTGAGGTATTAATGTGAGAAGAAGGCAATGGAAGAGCAAATACAGTAGTAACTTCAGGGGACATCAGGGTCAAATGAAGCATTACTTGATGCTTTCCTTCCTCTAAGCATTAGATCAAACCATTCCCTTTGTTCTCTTCATTCTCAGAGATTTGGTGGTATTTTTTGATACTGTACTGTGTAGTTGTTGCTTATCAAGGATTTCTTTGTATAGTTGATGATCTTTGTCTTTACATGCGTCCTAATTCCTTAGGTTGCCATGCCTTCATATTCTTCGTAGTGATTTTTAAAACACAGTAAGCACTCAATATATGGTTTGTGATGATTATAGACTAGCTTTTTAATTATGGAAACTATTCTTAAAACTTTTGATAGGAATTGTGACTGAGTCTTTTGTTAAGATACTGGTAAATATAGACTGGTTAAAAAAGAGAGTCTCAGGGAGTAAAACTAAAAAATGTTGCCTAGGGGTTCCTGGGTTGCTCAGTTGGCTCAGTTGGTTCTGACTTCAGCTCAGGGCATTATCTTGTGGTTCATGGGTTTGAGCCCTTGTTGGGCTGTCTGCTGTCAGCACAGAGCCTGCTTTGGATCTGTTGTCTCCCTCTCCCTCTCTGCCCCTCCCTCACTCATGTTCTCTCTCAAAAATAAACATTAAAAAATACAATATTGGGGTGCCTGGGTGGCTCAGTCGGTTAAGCGTCTGACTTCAGCTCAGGTCATGATCTCATGGTTTGTGGGTTCGAGCCCCACGTCGGGCTCTGTGCTGACAGCTAGCTCAGAGCCTGGAGTCTGTCTTTGGATTCTGTATCTCTCTTTCTCTGACCCTCCCCTGCTTGTGCTGTCTCTCTCTGACTCTCAAAAATAAATTAAAAAACATAAAACAAAAAAAATACAGTATTAAAAAATATTAACTACTAGTTCTTTTAAACCAATTGCTTGGTATATTATATAGAGGGGTGAGCTATGTATATGACATAACCCATACACAGAATCTAGGCCAATTGTAAATTCTGATGGGATTTCCTCAAATGCAGTTAGAAATTTTTTTTGGAGCTAGAGGTAGTTACTTCAAAAAAGAATTCTATTCCATTATTTTGAAACTCAGGTAATAAAAGATTCTGCTTTTGAAATAGTGGACATATACCTTTTAGTTTATTAGCTTAGCATTAAAGAATTTAACTCAGTGATTATTAACCTCTGTTAATAATCCTGAAAAGCATGCCTTATAAATTGCATGTACCTGCTCAAATCAGAATGTAAAATCAGATATTATAAATGTCTCCTAGGCAAGGTTACAAAGGATCTCAAGAATTTTCTTACTATTAGCTAAGAATTTCTCATACTTTACCTGTGGCATGTGTGTAAGAACATATACAATAATCTAGCTATAGGTTGATAAATTACTTAATAATCTGAACCTGCATTTATGATTTAGCATATATATATTTATGTAAACTCTTATATCTCTATTTTGAGGCTCTCATAATCAATGGGGCAAATCTGGCAACTCAAGATGACCGTGGATGCACTCCTTTACACCTTGCTGCAACACATGGACACTCTTTCACTTTACAAATAATGCTTCGAAGTGGAGTGGTAAGAGATTCCTGTTGATATGTGAGAATGTATAATCATATAGATGGAGTAGCATTTGGTAGCCTGGTTATCTCTTCCTGACTTTTAAAATCTCTTACATGACTTTTGGTAAGTAATTTGATATACCTCTAGCTTTTTTGTCTTTAAACATGGGAGCAATAATTTAGATAAAGCTTCAAAAGAACCCAGTTTAGGGGCGCCTGGATAGCTCAGTCGGTTAAGCTTCTGACTCTTGATTTCAGCTCAGGTCATAATCTCAGGGTCATGGGATCAAGCCCTGTGTTAGACTCTGTACTTACAGTATGGAGACTACTTGGGATTCCCTCTCTCTCCCCCTACCCCTTCCTCCTTTCCCCCCTCCCTCTCTCCCTCTCTCCTTCCATGACTCTTGCATATTCATGTGCACTTTATCTCTCTCAAAATAAATGAAACTTTAAAAAATAGAAACCAACCCCAGTTTAGCAGTACAAAGTATTTCAGAGGCTATGGGTTCTTCCTGTCTGTTCAGAGTTTAACTGGGAAGATTATGAAGCTTCCAAACACATCTTAACCAGTGATTGTAAATCTAAATTTGTGTGTTTGCCTGTTTGTTTTGTAATTTATTTTATACACTAATTTATTATTTTTTTATAATTGTTTTTTTAATGTTTTATTTATTTCTAGGAGAGAGAGAGAGAGACAGCGCGAGCAGGGGAGGGTCAGAGAGAGAGGGAGTCACAGACTGAAACAGGCTCCAGGCTCTGAGCTGACAGCACACAGCCTGACACGGGGCTCGAACCCACGAACCGCGAGATCATGACCTAAGCGAAAGTCGGACGCCCAACTGACTAAGCCACCCAGGCGCCCCTTTTATACACTAATTTAGAAAGTGATTTTTATCTTCAGAAATTAAAAAAAATTATTTTAATGTTTATTTATTTTTGATAGAGAGACAGAGTACAAGTGCGGGAGGGGCAGAGAGACAGGAAGACTCAGAATCCAAAGCAGGCCTCAGGCTCTGAGCTGTTAGCACAGAGCCCCACACTGGGCTCAGACTTACAGACCGTGAGTTCGTGACCTGAGCTGAAGTTGGCCAGTTAACTGAGCCACCCAGGTGCCCCAGAATTTTTGTTTACTGTAATATTTTCTTTAATATTACCCAGTGATTGTAAAAAATATATAACTTATAAGATTTACGCATACTGAAGACATTGTGGTAAGAGTTGAGAAAAAGTTAAAGTCCTTTTTAAGTATTTTTATTTTATCATTAACTCTTTGTGCTCTAAAGGGTCTGACTAGATCATTTGAGTCCATCCTTTTCATTTTATTGGTCAAGAACCTGTGACCAGTAAAATGACTAGTTAAGTCCCTTTATAAAAACTATTTTTATGAAATAGCTATGCTTTTTTAAAGACTATTTTATAAAATTTCATTACTATTTTATTAGCTCATATGTTTCAATCAGTGATTGTAGTAAATTTTTCTATTGCCTTCGTTGTTTGTCTTATATTTTTAAGAACAGCCTCCATTTTCATTTGCAGAATTAAGCTGCTTGACTTATTGTTTCTCCTACAAATGGAAAGAAATTGAGTTCTTGTGAATGTTACCTCTAGGATCCCAGTGTGACTGATAAGAGAGAATGGAAACCTGTGCACTATGCAGCTTTTCACGGGAGGCTTGGCTGTTTGCAGCTTCTAGTTAAATGGGGATGTGGCATAGAAGATGTGGACTACAACGGAAACCTTCCAGGTGTTCTTTACAAAAGCAACTTTTAAATGATTGATTGTGTTTAAGAAATTTACACTTGTCATCATTTTAACAGTTCCTCAGAAAACTAAAGTAGTAAATATATTGACCTGAACATTTTTTACTCTCGAACCTGTGTTATGTACCTGTTATGTGATTGAGTTTTTTTCCTGGAACCATATCAGCAAAAGAGACATTGGCAAAATTAAACTTGGATTTACTCTTCCTGTAAATCCTGTAAAGAAAAAAAGCTGTTTTCTTTAACTACTGTTTAGGGTTATTATTATTATTTTTTTAATCTTTATATATTTTAAGGGGGGAGAGTGGGGGAGGGGCAGAGAGAGAGGAAGAGAGATTCTCAGGCAGGGTCTACACTGTCAGCACAGAGCCTGACGCTAGGATTATTATTTTTTTAACTTCATACAACTTCACTTCCCAGACTACTGTTTATAAAAAATCGTATAAATAGTGGACACTCATGTATTTGAGTTCATTTTCTAACTACAGTTGGCTAGCCTGCGATTAGCTGACCGTTTGAGACCTGTACCTTAAACACTGTCTTCTTCTAAGAAGTGCTGTAGAAATTCAGGAGAGAAATAGATCACAGAGTGGAGTGCAGGTTGCTAAAAATGATACTCGAATTATGTCTCAAAAGAATCTTAAGTAGCGAAACAAATGAAGGGGAAGTTCAGGCAAGCCTGTTCGTATCTTAATAGCTTCACTCAAATCACTTTTTGGCTTAAAAACTTCCTAGATTGCTATGGAACTCTGATTTCTCAGTTTGGCGTGCTGTACCCTCATAATATGGCTTCTACTTTGGCCTCCTCTTCCACCCCTTTACCCTACTGTCTACGATCGTTTTGCTTCTTTGTGAAGTGCATCCTTTAGTGTTTATAGAGTTAAGATCTGTTGGTATGAACTCTCAACTTTTTGTATATCTGGAAATTATTGTTTTGCTCTTATTTTTTATTTTATACATTTTTTAATTGAAGTAGAATGCACAGTCCATTGCATTTTCACAAATGAGTACTTTTTCTGTAACCATTAGCCGGATCAAGAACTAGTCTCTTTCATGTCCTGTTTTTGGTTACCAAGAATCTCCAAAGTTACCTCACTTCCAACATAAAAATTAGCATTTTTTCTTTCTGAACTCTATGGGATAAAATAATACAGTGGTATTCCTTTTTGTCTGACTTCATTTTCCAAAGTGATTGTTATCAGTTCATACACTCATGAGTGGTATTTAAGACTTTCAGTTATTACACTTTCTCATTAATACTTGGTATTATTACTTTTTTTTTTTAGTTTTAGTCATTCTTTTGGGTGTAATGCTTTATTGTGGTTTTAATTTACATTTTCTTTGATTAAAAATGTAGAACAGCATTTTCCCCCTGAAGTTTATACCTCTCTTTAAAAATTTTTTTCTCATTTTTTTAAATTGAAGTGTGTTTGACATACATGCTGTATTACTTAGGTGTATAACATAATGATTTGACAGTTCTACATATTACTCTGTTTCTCCCATCCCCCCTTCAACCCTTCTCATTCTGGCAGCCATCAGTTTATTCTTTGTATTTATGAGTCTGTCTCTCTCTCTTGTTTGTTTGTTTGCTTTTTAGATTCCACATGTAAGTGACATATGGTATTTGTCTTTGTCTGACTTCAGTCACTTAATATAACACTCTCTAGTTCCATCCTTATTGTTGAAAATGACAAAATCTCATTCTTTTTATGGCTGAGTAATACTCTACTGTATATATACACCACTTCCTCTTTATTCATTCATCTATCTGTGGACACTTAGCTTGCTTTCCTATTTGGACTATTGTAGATAAGGCTGCCATAAACATAGGGGTGCATATATCCCTTTGAATTAGTGTTTTCCATTTCCTTTGGGTAAATACCCAGTAGTAGAATTACTAGACTTGTGATATTTCTATTTTTAATTTTTAGAGGAAACTCCATACTGCTTTTCACAGTAGTTGTACCAGTTTACAGTTTACCTTTATACTAACAGTACCTGAGAGTTCCCTTTTCTTCACATCCTCTCCAAAACCTGTTATTTCTTTTTATTTTTGTTGCTCACCATTTTGACTAATATGAGGTGATAGCTCATTGTGATTTTGATTTGCATTTCACTGATGATATCTTCACCCATTCAGTAGGTTACTTTTTTGTTTTGTTGATGGTTTAGCTTTGCTGTGCAAAAGCTTTTTATTTTAGTATAGTCCCAGTAGTTTATTTTTGCTTTTTTTTTTTTTTTGGCATGAAGAGATATATCCATAAGTATGTTGCTAAGACCATGTCCAAGAGATTACTGCCTGTGTTCTCTTTTAGGAATTTTATGATTTCAGGCCTCACATTTAGTTCTTTAATCCATTTTGAGTCTATTTTTGTGTATGGTATAAGAAAGTGGTCTAATTACATACTTTTGCATATAGCTGTCCAGTTTTCTCAGTGTCATTCATTGAAGAGATTGTCTTTTTTCCATTGTGTATTCTTCTTTGTTGTAGATTAGTTGACCATGTAATTGTGGATTTATTTCTGGACTTTATTCTGTTTCACTGATATATGTATCTATTTTTGTGCTAGTACTATACTGTTTTTGTTGTTGTAACTTTGTATTCTTTTTTTTTTTTTTAACTTTTTTAAATGTTTTATTTATTTCTGAGAGACACACACACACACACCCCGTGATCAGGAGTGGGTCAGAGAGAGAGGGAGACACAGGATCTGAAACAGGCTCCAGGCTCTGGGCTGACTGTCAGCACAGAGCTGGATGCAGGGCTTGAACCCACGAACCATGAGATCATGACCTGAGCCCAAGTCAGACGCTTAATGGACTGAGCCACCCAGGCACCCCTGTAGTTATTCTTGAAATCTGAGATTGTGGTACTTTCAGCTTTTTTCTTGTTTCCCCAGATTACTTCAGCTATTTAGAGTCTTTTATCATTCCATTCAAAATTTAGAATTGTTATAGTTTTGTGGAAAATATTCTTGGTATTTTGATAAGGATTGTGTTAAGTCTGTAGATTATTTTGGGTAGTATGGACATTTTATTAATATTAATTCTTCCAGTCTGTGAGCCTGGTATATATTTCCATTTGTGTCATCTTCAGTTTCTTTCACTTACGGTTTTCAGAGTACAGGTCTTTCAACTTCTTGGTTAAATTTATTCTTAGGTATTTTATTCTTTTTGGTGCAATTGTGGGTGGAATTATTTTATTTTTCTTAAAATCTTTTTTTTAATGTTTATTTTTTAGAGAGAACAAGAGACAGAGCAGGGGAGGGTCAGAAAGAGAGGGAGACACAGAATCTGAAGCAGGCTCCAGGCTCTGAGCTGTCAGCACAGAGCCTGATGCGGGGCTCCAACTCATGAACCTTGAGATCATGACCTGAACCAAAGTTGGCCACTTAACCAACTGAGCCAACCAGGCACCCTTGGAATTGATTTCTTAATTTCTCTCTGTGCTGCTTCATTATTGGTATATAGAAACGCAACTGATATCTGTATATTAATTTTGTGACCTGCCACTTTATTGACTTCATTTATTACTTCTCGTAGTTTTTTTGGTGGAGTCTTTAGGGTATTTTCATGTATAGTATCATGTCATTTGCAAATAGTGACAATTTAATTTTTTCCTTACTGATTTAGATGTCATTTATTTTTCTTGTCTAATTACTATGGCTAGGGCTTCCAGTACTAAGTTGAATTAAAGTGGTGAGAATGGACTTTCTTGTTTTGTGCCTGATCTAGAGTAAAAGCTCTTAGGTTTTTAGCATTTAGTATGATGTTAGCTGTGGATTTGTCATATATGATTTTTAATATGTTGAGATATATCCTCTGTATACCACTTTCTTGAGAATTTTTATTATGAATGGATGTTGTATTTTGTCAAATGCTTTTTCTGGATCTTGTAAGATTATCATATGGCTTTTATCCTTCCTCTTATTAATTTGTTGTATCAGGGCACCTGGGTGGCTCAGTTGGTTAAGCGTCCGACTTCGGCTTAGGTCATGATCTCACGATTCGTGGGTTCGAGCCCCGCATCGGGCTCTGTGCTGACAGTGAGCTCAGAGCCTGGAGCCTGTTTCAGATTCCATGTCTCCCTCTCTCTCTGACCCTCCTCTGCTCATGCTGTCTCTCTCTCAGAAATAAATAAAACATTAAAAAAAATTTGTTGTATCATACTGATGCAGATAGCTTTTTTATTTAAATATCTTTTCTATGTCTTGCCTTTTCATTCTTTGAAGATATCTTTTGGTGAATAGATGTTTTAACTGTAATGTAGTCAAGTTTAATAAGCTCCTCCTTTATGGTTAATCCTTTCTGAATCCTGTTAAAAAAAAAGAACCTTTCCCTACTCTTTGGTCATGAAAACATTCTTTTATGTTATCTTCTAGTATTTTATTATTTCACTTTCTTTTTTTTAAATTTTTTTTAATGTTTTTTATTTCTGAGAGAGAGAGGCAGCATGAGCAGGGGAGGGTCAGAGAGAGGGGGAGACACAGAATCCGAAGCAGGCTTCACTTTCACACGTAGGTCCCCAACCCACCTGGAACTGACTTTTCTATAATACAAGGTAGGGAGTAATTTCATTTTTAGTTGGTTCTTTATTAAATATGCCTGATCATTTTTTAAAGTCTTTTTACCTGATCATTAAAAATTCCAAGTTTTATTTCTTTAAACATAAAAATGCTTATGACTATATATAGTATATTTTTTAATACAGAGATTAGGAATGTGGCTTCAGTACTACACTAATTGTATTCAAATCTCTGTCTTAAATTGCTATTTGTTTTTGTTTTATTTTTAAAAAATGTTTATTTTTAAGAGAGAGCGAGAGACAGAGTGTGGTGGGGGAGGGGCAGAGAGAGAGGGAGACACAGTCTGAAGCAGGGTCCAGGCTCTGAGCTGTCAGTACAGAGCCTTGTGCAGAACTTGAGCTCACGGACCCTGAGATCATGACCTGAGCTGAAGTTAAACGCTTAACTGACTGAGCCACCTAGGCAACCCTATATCTTAAATTATTGGTCCAACATTTATTTCTTGAGCATCTACTACGTGTCAGTCCCTCTTGTGTGCTGGGGATATCACAGCAAACAAAACAGCCCAAAGTCCTGCCTTCATGTGATACTGCTCAGCGGGGGACAGGCAATAATCAAAAGAATATAAATTATATTAAGTAGAGATATGTGTGTGGATAAAAGCAGAGAAGAGAGTAGAGTGTTAAAGAGGATGAAGTTTATAAAATAGTGTGGTCAGGGAAGCCTTCACTGAGGTGATAACTGGATCAATACCTGACAAAGTTGAGGGAGCAGGTCTTGTTACTACTGTGGGGAAAGAATATTATAGGAAGAGGTAATAGCAAGTGTAAAGCTCCTGAGGCAGGAGTGTTCCTTGCATATTTGAGTAACAGCAAGTAGTAACGGTGAGTCAGTGTGGTTAGAACAGAAATCAGAGAGTGAATAATAGATGATGATGTCAGAGAGGTAACAGGAGCCATGGAAGGATTTGGAGCACAGCAATGACATGATCTGACTCCATTTAAGAGTATCATTTTGGCTATTTTGTTTATAATAGATTGCAGTGTGGGTGTGGGGATGGCAAGAGTAGAAATAGACCACTTGTGAGACTGATGTAATAATTTAATGCTGCTCTTGGGTTGGAGCCAAATAGAGGCAGCAAAGATAATGAGAAATAACTGGGATCTGTGTATTTTTTAAAGATAGAGCCAATAAGATTTGCTGATTGATTAGACGTAGAGAGTGACAGAAAGAGGAGTCAAGGATGGCTTCAGGATTTGGGGCATAAACTACATGGAAAAGAGACAGTTCCTATTAAGTGAGAGAGGGAAAGCTATTTAAGGAAAACATGCGCAAGAGGGATGAGGAGTTGAGTTTTTGATATGTTAAGTTAGAAATGCCTGAAAGACATATATGTGTATATATGATGAGTAAGCTGTTAGAGGAATCTCAAGTTTTAGGGGGAATTTTTTGGTGTTTTTTTGTGGAAGGTTCAGCTGAGAAAGTGTAGAGTGAAATGTGCCAGCAACTTTTCTTTTGGGTGTTGTTACATCTTGTTTCTCCTCCATTACACTGGTCATTTAGGTGCTGCTCTACTTCTCCAGAGGCAAGATTTGTTTATTGATTGGGATGTTGCCCAAAACTCACTTCTCCAGAGATGTAAAGGCTCTCTCGTTCTTTGTAGTCACTGCCCTAAACTTGTAATACCCCAGAAGCATTCTTTTTTTTTTTTTTTTTTTTTTGCGAATTTTGGGTTGTGACTCTCCTTCAGCTCGATTCAGTATATTTTCTTTCAGGGATTCCTTAACATTTGTTGTCTGTTCTTGGAGTTCTTGTAGGTTTCTCTAGTCCTTTTTGGCTTCAAAAAATCTCTTTTCTATTATTTTCAAGGATTTAGAGTAGAAATGGTGAGATACTTTGTGCGCTTTGTCTGCAGTTTTGATCCAGTCTTCCTGTTTTTAATAAAAATAATAAATGTCTATGGAAAAATGGCACATTAACATTAATGTTTATTCTTGAGAGTGCCAGTGGAGGAGGGGCAGGGAGAGGGGGACAGTGGATCTGAGTGGGCTCTGCCCCAGTAAACAGCGATCACAAACTAAAGTCAGATGTTCAAGAGACTGAGCCACCCAGGTGCCCCCATAGTGACTATTTTGGTTTATCTCTTCCATTTTGTTCCAAAGCATTAAAATAAATATATCATCTGTCTTACCAAGCAAGTATTTTCTCGTGTGATTATAAGCTGCCTAACTGGGATTTAACTTGTCAAGAAAATGTTCTGGGGCTTGCTTTTTGGTATCTCTCATCTGGTTCTTCACTTGCTAACCATTTAGTCTGTTGCTTCAATGTGACTAGGAGGCTGAGTGAGGACTTGTGGGCTTGCGGAGAAGTTGTTACCATTACTCGCAGTATGTCCCTGTTACATGGGGAAGGGACAGTTATCGCCTGGTGAGGATTAGAGCCAATGTTGTTCTTTCTTTCTTCAAATTATCTTATCATCAATGTAAAAATTAATTTTTTTTCTCTCTCACCTATAGTTCACTTAGCAGCCATGGAAGGTCACCTTCACTGTTTTAAATTCCTACTCAGTAGAATGAACAACACTACACAGGCTCTAAAAGCCTTCAATGATAATGGAGAAAACGTAATGGATTTGGCCCAGAGGTTCTTTAAGCAGAACATTTTGCAGTTTATCCAAGGGGCTGAGTCTGAACAAAGTGATCCAAAAGATCAGGAAAGTAAGTAATAAACCTGGAGTGTTGTAGCATCTAATAAGTAGAATAAGTGGAAAAGTAAAAGAAGTTATAAGGCAAATGTTATATGTAAATATGTTACTTATAATTGTCTACCCATTCATTCAGTTTGTTTTCTTTATCATGAAATATTTTAGGCAGAAATATATAGAGATTAATGTAATGAACATTCTTTATGCCACTAATTTAAGGATAAAATGTTATACATACAGTTAAAGTTTCTTGGTTCTCTCACCTTCATATCACTTTTTCTTCCTTCTCAGAGATAAATGTTTTCAATTTATAATTTCATCCTATGGGTTTTAATTTCAATTTTTTAAGTTAAGTTCACTTATTTTGAGAACGAGCACAAGGTGGAGAGAGAAAGAGAGAGAGAGAGAGAGAGAGAGGGAGAGAGAGAATCTGAAGCAGGGTCTGTGCTGCCGGGGCAGAGCCTGACATGGGTCTTGAACTCATAAAACCATAAGATCGTGACCTCAGCCAAAACCAAGAGTTGGATACTTAACCAGCTGAGCCACCCAGGTGCCCCAGCACATTTTATATTTAATGTATATATACTTACAAAAATATGCATTACTATCTGTTTGTGGAGTAAGAGACTAACCTGTCCTAACAAAGAAATCCTAAAATTCAGCAGCTTAAGGATTCATACGATACCCTACATTGGAGAGTGAATCTATGCTGTGCAGTCATTCAAGAACTGACTTTTTTTCCCAACTAGCTCTCTCTGGTGGTAGCTAATTCAGCAGGAGGTGGGAAGGGAGCAAGACCTATAAGGTTAGGACCAGAGATTTTCAAGGTCTAATTTGTACTCATCACTTTTGCTAACATTCATTTGGCAAAAGTTAAGCTACATGGGTGTACTAGCTGTGAGGAAGCCTGGAGAAGAATTCAGTATTTAGCTGAGAAGACTTACTTCAGCTACAACTCCTTTACTGTTGAAGGAAGGGGATTTTAGTGGATGACTAGTAGTCTTTGAAACTTCTCTTAACATCTTAAGGGCATAAAACAGTATGCATTCTTCTATTTCTTGCTTTTTTACAGAAAATACGAAGTCTTGCGGTTTTTGTTAGGCTGATAGATATATCCTCATTTATTAAGTGTTGTATAGTATTGTATTTTATGAAAACCATTATTTATCCATTTTCTAATTTGACATTTAAATTTTTTTTCGCTATTATAGTAATGTGGTCAGGGATATTCTTGTCTGTGTCTCCTTATATACCTGTACAAGAGATTCTGTAGAGAAGTGCTTCACTACCTTTTTAACACAGAGCCCACATAGAAAATATTTTTATGGCACATTGGGATTTGTTGGATGAGGCTGCTTGAGGTGCTGCCTGTCTTCTCTGAAGACTGAGAGTTAACAGCTCTGCCTGGATAATTAGGTGTGAAGTTCTACATTAGGGTTTGCTTGATGGGATATGCCCTTTTTCAGCATAAATAGGTATTGTTACATCCTTCATTAGAGTGGTTGTAGAAGTTTGCACTCTCATCAGCAATGTTTGGTGGGAATTTAGAGAAATGATATTCAGTATTGTCAGACTTTAAAATTTTTGCCAGTTGATTGGATATAAAAAGGTTTAATCTGTATTTTGATTTGTGTTTTCTTGATTATGAATGAGGTTGAACATCCTTCTGTAAGTTATTGGTTATTCTAGTTTTTTCTTCTATGAATTGCCTGACTATACTTTTCACCCTTTTAAAAATTATATTTTTGCCCTTTTCTAAATAATTTGTGTTCTTTATATAGTCTTGATTCTAATTCTTCATTGATTTTATCTGATATGGATATCTTCTCTCACACTGTGGCTTGTTTTTTCCCTTTGATGATGATATCCTTTATTATTTAATTTATTATTTATAATTTAAGTTTTTAAGGGGATATACTTTTTTAAAAACAAACTTTATTAATGTATGATTTACAAGTAATAAACTGTATTCACTTAGTGTGCAGTTAGGTGAGTTTTGATGTATGTGTACAATCATGAAACCATCACAAGATAGAAAACATTGCCACCACCTCCAAAGGCTTTTTTATACTGCCTTATAGTTCACCCCTCCTTCACCCTCATCCAACTTACTTGCTTTCTGTCACCACAAATTAGTTTGCATTTTCTTTTCTTTTTTTTAATGTTTTATTTTTGAGAGAGAAGGAGAGAGAGAGAAAGAGAATGCAGGCAGGGGAGGACAGAGAGAGAGGTCAGAGGATCCCAAACAGGTTCTGTGCTGAGAGCAGACAGCCCAATGCAGAGTTCACAAACTCAAAAACTGGAGATCATGACCTGAGCCTGAGTCAGATGCTTTAACCTACTGAGCCACCCACATGCCCTAAGTTGGACTTTTCTCTTCCTTCCTCCCTCCCTCCCTCCCTCCCTCTCTCCCTTCCTTCCTTCCTTCCTTCCTTCGTTTATTGTCAAGTTGGTTTCCATATAACACCCAGTGCTCATCCCCACAAGTGCCCTCCTCCATGCCCATCTCCCCACTCCCCTCAACACCCATCAGTCCTCAATTTGTTCTCAGCATTCAAGAGTCTCTCATGGTTTGCCTCCCTCCCTCTCCCCCACTATTTTTCCCCTTCTTCTCCCCCATGGTCTTCTGTTAAGTTCCTCCTAATCCTCCTATACATGCAAACATATGGTATTTGTCCTTCTCTGCCTGACTTATTTCACTCAGCATAACACCCTCAAGGTCCATCCATGTTGCTACACATGGCCAGATTTCATTCTTTCTCATTGCCATGGAGTATTCCATGGTGATAAACCACATCTTCATGATCCATTCATCCATTGATGGACACTTAGGCTCTTTCCATGTTTTGGCTATTGTTGAGAGTGCTGCTATGAACATTGGGGTATATGTGCTCCTATGCATCAGTAAGTTTGACTTTTCTAGTGGAACCATTTTAAGATTCATCCCTGTTATGTACATTAATAGTTCATTTCTTTTTATTGCTCAATAGTATTTGATTGTACGGATATACCATATTTGATATATCTGTTTGGCAATATTACAACTGTCTTGATTACTGTAGCTTTATAGTAAGACTTAGAATTAGGTAGTGTAAATCTCTTAACTTTTTCTTTTAAAAATATTCTTTGGCTAGGGGCACCTGGATGGCTCAGTTGGTTAAGCATCCGACTTCAGCTCAGGTCATGATCTCATAGATCATGAGTTCAAGCCCTGTGTCAGGTTCTGTGCTGACAGCTCAGATCCTGGAGCCTGCTTTGTATTCTGGATTCTGTGTCTCCCTCTCTCTCTGCCCCTCCCTGGTTCATACTCTGTCTCTCTCTCTCTCCAAAATAAATAAACATTAAAAAATTTTAAAAGTATTCTTTGGCTATGTTTCCTTTCCAGATTTAAAAATGAGAGTAGGGACACCTGAATGACACAGTTGGTTAAGTGTCCAACTCTTGATCTCGGCTCAGGTCATGATCTTGGAGTTACTATCATCAAAAACATCAAGCATTTATTGTGTAGTTAGGCACTAGGTCAGGCTCATTTGCACAGGCATGTGTATATGTATATGTGTTTGTATACATACTTATATATACTTTACCTGCTTCCAGTTTATTTTGCTTTCTTCCTTGCAAACAGAATGAGTGTTCTGTGCAAATGTAGGACTTAAGACCAAGTATAGTTTTATATGAAGGGTTGAAAATGACCATCTTGTGTTTTGTGGTGGCCTGAGGGAAGAATAGAATATAGCTAAAAATAGTTCTGGTACAATACTACTGGGCATGTTTGGGGTCCTGAGGGGTGGAAGGGCTATACAATTAATAATAATCTTATTTTATGATTTTCTTTTTACTACTTGTTATTACATCAATCAAACTAATTCCAATATAACGTTATCATAATTGAGTTAATACTGAAATCTGAATGTGTGACTGCTTAAGTCAGAGAAATAATAATAAGCTCATGTGTTTACTAAGATGATGAATTTCTGTTCATAGCCTTAGCATTTCCAGGTCATGTGGCTGCCTTTAAGGGTGATTTGGAAATGCTTAAAAAATTAATAGAAGATGGAGTAATCAATATTAATGAACGTGATAGTAATGGATCAACTCCTATGCATAAAGGTAAGTTATTCCTGCTTCGTTTTCCATTCTGACATAATTACTATTGAATTATTTGCCTTTTAAAGTAATTATCCCTCTACAGAAGTGCTGATGCATAGGGGCACATGTATCCCAGTGTTCATAGCAGCACTTTCAACAATAGCCAAATCATGGAAAGAGCCCAAATGTCCATCAACTGACAAATGGATCAAGAAGATGGGGTTTATCTATACAATGGAATACTACATGGCAACAAGAAAGAATGAGATCTAGCCATTTGTAGCAATGTGGATAGAACTTGAGGGTGTTATGCTAAGTGAAATAAGTCAGGCAGAGAAGGATAGATACTATATGTTTTCACTCATATGTGAAACAGGAGAAACTTAACAGAGGACCGTGGAGGGGGGAAAGGGGAAAAAAACTGTTAAGGAGAGGGAGGGAGGCAAACTCTTAAATACTGAGAACAAACTGAGGGCTGCTGGGGGTGGGGGAGAGGGGAAAAGGGGTGATGGACATGAAGGAGGGCACTTGTTGGGATGAGCACTGGGTGTTATATGGAAACCAACTTGACAATAAACTATAAAAGAAAAAAATAATTATCCCTCAGAAATATGTGAAAATGTAAAACTTTCCTGATACCCTAAGGCATTTAAGTCTTCCTTATATGGTACACAGAGTGCTTACTTTTAAATTGAAGTGTGATATTCCTTTTATGATATCAGAAATTCTGTCACATTTAAGGTAATTCCAATAGAAATTCTCTTTTGACACTGACATGTTTAGATATGAAATTCACTGCTAGAGAAGTTTCTTAGGACTAACATTTTCTTTGGATTAAAAATGATTTATTAATTCATGCTATGGCATGAAAAATACATACCAGAACTTGAAAAAAATGTATAGCAGATTTTTACTTCCATAGGAGTATCAATGAACCTTTGATTTGAACACGTCTTCAAGATGTCTACCACTTTTCTCTGTAATCTCTCCTTCCTTCTGTGTGTAATTCTAAATTATTATCTAGCTTTTTGGTTTTTAAATCAGACTGTCAAATTGTCAATCCTTATTGGGAGTATGTACTCTAAGATTTATTCTTGACAGTCTTCCTTTTATTTATAAAATAAAAAACCAGATTGCTAAACTACCCCACCTGAAATTTCCATTCCATCAATATTTGATATTATAAGTTTCTTTAGAATCTAATGGCAGGTAATTCTTGTAAAAGTGTTAAAGGGACTCCCGGCTGGCTCAATTGTGAAGTGTGCGACTCTTGATCTTGGAGTCATGAGTTCTAGCCCCATTTTGGCCATAGAGATTACTTTAAAAAACCCTTAAAAATGTTAAAGTAAAAGACAGTAAATAGTCTAGTTAATGCAGTCATGTGTGTGTGTGTGTGTGTTTTTTTTAATTTTTAACGTTTATTTTTGAGAGAGGTAGAGACAGCCTGGGGGTGAGGCAGAGAGAGAGGCACACACACACAGAATCCCAAGCTGGCTCCACACTGTCAGCACAGAGCCCAATGCAGGGCCTGAACTCACGAACTGTGAGATCATGACCTGAGCTGAAACTAAGAGTTGGACACTTCACTGACTGAGCCACCCTGGCGTGCCGGCAGTCATGTGTTTGAATTAGATTTTTATTTTTTATAAATAACTTCTGCTGATCCTAATCACAGACTATGTTCCTGTTGGTTAGGTTCTTAGTTTAATTATTAAAGTTGGTTTCATTCATAAGGAATCTCCAGTATAGGATCTAAGTACCATGTGTACCAGTAGTTATATAAGAGAGAGCTTCGATGGAGTAAGAAGAAGGGGAATGCAAATGGATTTCCCCTACATACAGAGAGGTTTCCATTTTGGCAAATGCTCTACCCTAGACTTGGAAAGTCTTGCTCCTCTATCTCTACTGGCTGTCTAGGGGTTTAATATTTGCCATGGGATTTGCAAATGGGGTGGAGACAAAATGTGCCATATATATGTATAGTTTAAAGTGTGGTGCCTTAAAGCAAAGCCGTCATTTCATATCCTAGATATAACCACTTTTCATTACTAATATATATGTGGAGTATCATTTAGATACTGTAGCAAAATATAAGCTCACTCATGGTGGTTAATATGCATCTTCCCAGGAAAATTAAGTTTCACTGATGGCTGGTTTTCAGCCTTTCTCAGTCACCTTTTTACCACTGGAACTAAGATGGAAATGAGAGACCTGGAAGAAGGTTCTAAAGGGACTGATGTATAACCACAGGGTGTTTGGGATGCTGACATAGTGAGAAGATGGGAAGGTGAAACTGAGAAGGAACCGATAGTGTTTGCTCTTCACCCCTTCTCTTGTCAGTCTATCCACTGAGGAGACCTGGGTCCAGGAGTGGATCACATGGTGTGGTAGAGGGATGAGAAGTGTCTACAATGGGGAGAAGGGGCATTTTGTGTACATTTGTCTTTCCTGTCAAACATCTCTGTGTTTAGAATATATCCAAATTGGGTAAATAAAAGTTGGTGTCTCCTTAAGATTTAATCACCTTTCCCACATTTTGTCAAACTTTCTGCTGCTTTTCCTTTAATTTTTAATTCAGTAAATAAGCTGCTGTATTTATTATTGGGGCATTCTTCTTAACCATTTAATGATTGTTAAATCCACGATTACTGGTCCTTCTTTTAATTTGCTAAGCCGTAAGTATTGCAAAGAATTTCTAGCCACTGTGTAATTTTATCTGTTCTCTTATAAAACATGGATTAAATTAATAAACATATGCTAACCAGAATACAGTAAGGATCTTGGGTAAAAATCCTTTTATTGTATTTCATGTTAGAGAAATTCTTTTGCCTCCCCTCCCCCTCTTTGTAAACAATATTTGTTTAATAACGTGGAAATGTTTGGTTAAGTTCATTCTCTCTTATAAAACTGTTATCCATGATACATAATTACTATTTTGTAAATCTTAAAGATGGAATATGTTGCTGTCTTTGCCTATAGTGGGGTTATTTCTAAAGGTCTGGGAACTCTTGTAGTATTCTTTGTTAACTGGTTTTGGGTTTGCTGTAGGAGAGAGGGAGAAGGCCCAGGCTTTTCAGGGACCAACTCTGAGAGTGGTAGATGGCTCTTAGTGAACAAGAGAAGGGCGGAAGAGTTCGTACAGTAGTGTTGGGGTTCCTCTGTCACTGTTTCTGACTTTGTGTCCTCTTTCATCTGTTGCCAGTATTGGAGGTAGATGCACTTTTTGAGGCACCAAACATATACCAAAAATTCTTAGTCTTTGATTTATTTTACAGAGGCATGTATATTCAGCACCAACCATATGCTTGCACGGTATAGACAGTATGAGATCCAGACCTTCCTCTTAAGGAGCCACATACTCATAACATGAACAACTAGAGATTTGTAGAAGTCAGGATGTAATAAATGGCAAAAAAGATTTGGTTGTTAAAATACAGCCAATAGGAATTCAAGAGTAGAAACTGAGCAACAGAAGAAGTTGGTAAGGTTAAAGGAGAGTTCATGGGAATTCAGAAATCATGTTATGTTTATATGATATTTAATGGGGTGCAAAACTGTAATCACATTTAACCCTTGTAACTTTATGAAGCAGCAATGTACCCTCCTTGTAAGTATGAAATCTTCTCTGTAAAAGATAAGGAAATTGGGGTCCACAGGAATCAGTTTTCTTGACTGAGGTTACATAGCTGGTAAGAGCAAAGCTGACATTTTATTAACATTCTGATTCCTTAATTCACTCATCAACTTTACAGACATTTATTGAGAGTCTTTATGTGCCAGCCACTTGCTAAGTTCTTTAGTTTTCTCCCCCAGTTTCACAGAGTCTTGAGATAAATCTACAAGGATGGATAGAAGTTAGTTGAGCATATGGTTGAGTACTGGGCATGAGGTGAGAAGATACGTAAACAGAGTTGTGGAGGTGAAAATTAGTATTGAATACATGTATTAACAAGATTTTGAGGGGTGCCTGGGTGGCTGAGTCGGTGGAAGTCGTCTGACTTCAGTTCAGGTCACCATCTTACAGCTCATGAGTTTGAGTCCCATGTCAGGCTCTGTGCTGACAGCTTGGAGCCTGGAGCCTGCTTTGGATTCCGTGTCTCCTTCTCTCTGTCCTTCTCCCATTCATGCTCTGTCTGTCTGTCTGTCTCTCTCAAATATAAATAAAACATTAAAAAAAACCCAAGGTTTTGAAAAAAGTGGTAAATGGTTCTGATAATTAGTGAGGGGCCTACACATTTTGAGTTTTAAGAGTCAGTAGAATAACCTCTTTATATAAGATGACACAAGATATCTGAAGTCCATGTGGGTCCCTGTGGCTAGATTGTGCTCACATTCTGGTCAGTTACAGGATTAGTCAGGACCTATAGATAGTAGAAGGTGAACACTGGAGAAGGGTGGGGAACACCTTGATTATAGTTTCAAATCCATTCCTTGCTAGCTGTGTGATATTAAATAAATAACCTCGTTGAACTTCAACTTTTATATCTGTATATAAAGTCCTCTGTATAGGGACTAGCACAGTAGATATTTGAGAGAATGTTTGTCTAATGAATACATAAATGAACAGAGAAAGTAACATCTGCCCAACTTACTTTTGCTGGTTGGTGATTATAAGGATCACTATTTATGAAAACATTTTCTAATGGGATTGTCCAAGATTTTAAGACAATTGTTACTGTTACTAATGACAATAACTTTTGTGTGTGTATTTTCTCTTTTGTATTTTTGAAACAGCTGCTGGGCAAGGCCACATAGAGTGTTTGAAGTGGATAATTAAAATGGGAGCAGACAGTAATATAACAAACAAAGCAGGGGAGAAACCCAGTGATGTGGCTAAGAGGTATCCCTGTCTGCTTTACTACTTTCTTTTGTTTTTAAACTTTTGTATATACTCTCTTATACTCAAAAAAAACTGTGGATTTAATGGAATTATAGAAATCTGTCAAATACTGATGGAATGACAATTTTCAAGCTGAATTGACATTTGATGAGACATCAGCTCTTTAAAGTAATGACTTTCAACCAGGAGATAGTATTGTCCCTTTTCATGGGAGAGAGAGGGGATTTGGAAATGTGTGGAGGAGTGAGTGTCACAATGACTGGACACCAACATGGATATATAGTGAGGTTAGGTGCAGTGCTTAAAACAGTGGTACACAATGGAGAATCGTGTCACCCAAATGCCCGTACTATGTGGAATACCGTGTGATAAAAAGGAATAATCAATTTGGAGTCATATAGGTTTTGAAAAAAATTTTTGATGTTTGAATTAAATATAACATGTATTATTGATCACCTCAAGGAGGTCCTCAGGGAAAATTCAGTCCATCCATTTGTTCATTTGGTTGTTTTTCTTTCAGTTTCCTGTACACATAGTGTGTCCCTAGTGCTGTGGTTAGTGTTAGGATTACAAAGTTGAAAAAACACAGTCCTTGCCCTAAAGTTTGCAATCTTGTGAAGAGACATTATACATAGTAATTATTATTAATTATAATCATTGTGACATATCACATGTTATGTGTGAGATACAAAGAACAAAGGAGAAAAAGTACCCAGATCTTCCCATTTGAAAACTGTGGGGGAGAAATGTTAATACAGATGATGGTAAGAGTTATGAAGGAATCTGAAGGGAGCTGGAATTTATATAGAGGTCAGAGAAAAATTTTTTTTGGAGGAAGCAACATTTATTGCTGGCACTTGAAGGATGCAGAATTGTAAGACAATACCTTGTGTGTTTGAGGAGCTGTATGAGGTTCAGAACTGCTTGAAGCTAAGGTAGAAATCTGGCTAAAAGTTGAGAATAAGGTTTGACAGAGTGCCAGGACCTAATTTTTGAATTGCTCTGCAATTTTTGTGAGTTTATGTTACTTAAAATTTTGAGGGATTTCTTTGAAGCCCTGGAGCATGGTTTTGTGGTTCCATGTACCTAGGATCATAATCAACTCGAGCCCACTTTATTTTTATTTTGGAAAATGGCTTCACCAAGGTATAATTGGCATATGACAAAGTACACATATTTTTATAGTACAAACTGATGAATTTCTGATAAATGCATATACCAGTGAAACCATTACACCATCAAGAGCGTGAACATATCCATCATCCTCAAAAGTCTCCTTGTGCCCCCTTTGTATCTCTTTCCTTCCCCTGCTCCCCACTTCCCTTCCCCCCAGCAGATGCTGATCTGCTTCCTGTCAATGTAGTTTAGTTTGCATTTCCTAGAATACAGTACATACTCTTATAGATCTGGCTTCTTTCTCTCAGTATCATTATTTTGAGATTCATTTATGTATTGGTAGTTCATTTCTTATTGCTGAGTAATATTCCATTAGATGTGGAATTCCAGAATATTCCATAGTTCAATAATCCAGTAGCCTGTCGAAGGATATAATCTTGATTATATACATTTGTTGGTGAGCATGCATAAAGCTGCTATAAACATTCACATACAGGTTTTTGTGTGAAGGTAAGTTTTCAGCTCAGTTGCATAAATAGTTAGGCGTAGGATTACTGGGTCATTCTCATTAGCAGTGGAAGAGAGTTTCTTTTGTTTCTTATCTTGCCGGTATTTGATATTGTTTGTTCACCAGAGGAAAATGTATAAATGGCAAATACGTATGTAAAAATGCTCAAAATCATTTTCATTAGGAGAATGCAAATTAAAATCACAGTGAGATTCCACTATATACCTATGAGAATTTTGTAATTCATGCCCCAAAATGCTAGTTGTATGTGTAGTGTTATAGAAATAACCCTGAATAAACTTTTTAAAAAAGTGGAAGGGTTTCTGGGTGGCTAAGTCCGTTAAGCACTTGACTCTTGATTTCAGCTCAGGTCACAATCTCACAGTTTGTGAGTTAGAGCTCCGTGCTGACAGTGCAGAGGCTGCTTGAGATTGTCTCTCCCTCTCCACCAAAACATGCGCACGCATTCTCTCACTTTCTCTCTCTCAAAATAAAATAACTTAAAAAAAAAAGAAACTTGAATTTGGCATAAAGCAAGTACTCAGTAAATGATAGCTATTAAATTGCAACATAGTAGTTGAGATAATGAATTCTGTTAACCTTACAACTTCCTAAAATATTTGTTACCATATCTTTATTTGCCTGATGTATTGGATAAGGTAAGGATAGATGTGTGCAAGTGGTTATATAAGTATGTGAAAAAAGTAGGATTTGAGATTTTGTGTTTAATGAGTAGTTCTCCATGTCATAAGAGAAAACATTAAACACTTCAATTAGCCAGACTGAGAAAAATGCGTAGATTACATGCAAGCATAAAATCAGCTCCAAAACCTAGGCTATATTATTGGAAACTTCTTAGAGGTATGGGCAAGATCAAAGCAAATAGAAAATGTGGATGGAAAAAGTCATGATTTTCCATTAAATCTCAAAACCATGCCAAGTATTTTGGGTTGAGGAAGGATGAAAATTAAGGGGGCTAGAGCTACATCGTTACCCTAAATCTGGAAACAGAACTAATTCTGCAATCTAAATTAGGCCATCAAAAAAGGTAGTAAATATAGGTAACAAATAGGGTGGTTCTGGGCTTTCTATTTAGTTGGCCAGCTGTGTCTGGGACACAACACATATTCTCTTGATATTGGGTCTCCTCTCCCAGTTGGATTTTTGCCAATACAAATTATGAAATAGCCTTTACTAGGATTCTTTGTCTTTAGTGTCCAGTAACTCTTTGAGCTGGATGTATGTCAAATTGTCACTGACCTTCAGGTACAGCTTTGCTTCTTTACTGGTGGATGAGTTGGTGGCATAACATACAGAGTGTAATTTGCTAAATTAAGTGTAAACTGTGATTTCAATTTGAAGGAGATTGTGGATCTTGTTAATTACTGATTTCTTTCCTACAGGTTTGCTCATTTAGCTGCTGTAAAGCTATTAGAAGGGTTACAAAAATATGACTTGGATGATGAGAATGAAATTGATGAAAATGATATAAAGTTTTTTTTAAGACACGGTGTTGAGGGGAGCACTGATGCCAAGGATGATTTATGTCTCAGTGAGTTGGATAAGACAGATGCCAGAAGTAAGTGTGCCAACTCTGTTTTTATTTATTGTTTAAGAGATACCATAGCCAGTTTGTATCACAAATCTGGAATGTATTCTAAAGATAATTAACTGTCTGCAAAGAAAAATACTTTGATATTTTTTGGAGGGGAGCCAGACTAGTACAAATGTTTCTGCTAGGGGTTTCTGAACACATAAAGAGTGTAAGAGGGGTGCCTGGGTGGCTAAGTTGGTTAAGCGTCCGAATCTTGGTTTTGGCTCAGGTCATGATCTCACGGTTTGTGACTCTGTCTGCACCAACAGCATGGAGCCTGCTTGGCTCTCTCCGCCCCTCCTCCACTCATTCTCTCTCTCTGTCTCTCTCTGTCTCTCTCTCTCTTTGTCTCTCTCAAAGTAAATAAACACTAAATAAATAAAGAAAAATAATGTAAGACATGATTTCTGTCCCTCAAGGAAGAAACAGTTATAAGGAGGAAAAATTACTTAAGTGGGTCATAGGAAACAGGGAAATAAACATCTCGAGGATTTCCATGGTTAGTTGGCAAATGGTTTTTACAGATTAATAATAGGAAATATTTATTGATTATCTCCTGTATGCCAGACACTGTTGTACATATCGATGAAACAGTGAATGATATAAAATCTCTGCCCTGCCAGCAACTTTCATTCTAGTGGTGGTGGTGGTGGTGGTCAAGGGAAGGTGATGAATAGCTGATAAGAAAATAGGTCCACAAAGAAAATAAGGTATAATAGTGCCAAAGATAAGATAACTAGTGGAGGAGGCCACTCTGAGCGGGTGACATTTGAGGAGAGGCCTCTGGGGTGAGCCATATGAAGATCTTGGAAGAAAATTCCAAGCAGAAGGAACTGTATGTGTAAAGGCCATGGGGTGAACTTGAGCTCAGTAAGTGTGGCGGAGTACAATCAGCAAGGAAGTGGTAACAGATAAGGTTGGAGATATAAGCAGGGGCCCAATCAGATTATATAGGGCCTAATTAGGATTTTATGTTTATTTTTTAAATTTTATTTTATTTTTTAATTTTTTTAAATGTTTTATTTAGTTCTGAGAGAGAGAGAGAGACAGACAGACAGAGTGAGCAGGGGAGGGTCAGAGAGAGAGGGAGAGGCAGAATCTGAAGCAGGCTCCAGGCTCTGAGCCAGCTGTCAGCACAGAGCCGGATGCAGTGCTCGAACCCATGAACCATGTGATTATTAACTGAGCCAAAGTCAAATACTTAACCAACTGAGCCACCCAGGTGCCCCTATTTTTAAATTTTAAATAGAAACCACTGGTTGGTGTTTGAGGTGGGGGTGATCTAACCATCCTAGTTGCTGGGTGGAGAGTAGACTGGGAGATAGGAGAAAGCATAGCATTTCAGGTGGGTTATGAATGGGCAGGAAGAGAACATACTCACCTATCAGTCTTAGGTTAGATGAAAATTTTAATATAATTTAAATTTGCTTAGGATACTAGATTGAAGTTGTACAAGAGCAGATGCAGAGCATCTGCACCAATTTCTTGGGCTCCAGGAGTCCTGGATGTGGATCTGGAACTATCAGTGATGCTGGAAAGAAAGTTCCATTCTGGTTTTGCAGCCTTTTTATTTTTAAAGGAATTTTTTTAAGTTTGTTTATTTTTGATAGAGTCTGAATGGGAGAATGGTCAGAGAGAGGGAGGCACAGAATCCAAAGTAAGCTCCAGGCTCCTTGCTGCTAGCACACAGCCTGATGCGGGGCTCAAACCCATGAACCGTGAGATCATGACCTGAGCTGAAGTCAGATGCTTAACCGACTGAGCCACCCAGGCGCCCCTTAAAGGAATTTTTTTTAAGTTTATTTATTTATTTTGAGAGATTGAGAGCAGTGGAGGAGCAGAGAGAAGGGAAAGAATCCTAAGTAGGCCCTGTACCATAAGCATGGAGTCCAATGCGGGGCTTGAACCCATGAACTGTGGAGCCTGCTTGGGCTATTCTCTCTTTCTTTCTCTCTCTCTCCCTCCCTCTCTCTCCGCCCCTCTCTTGCTTGTTCTCTGTCTCCCTCCATCCCTCCTTCCCCCTCTCAAAAATAAATATACTTAAAAAAAAAAAAAGTGAGTAGAGCTTAGGCCCTGAATTCGGACATCAGAATTTCACCAGTTTTAGCTGTGTTAATCCCTGCATCTCAGTTTCCTCATGTATAAAAATGAGAATGTTATAATGTCATCCCCACAGAGTTAAAAAGATTAATACAGTAGAGAATGGGAAGTGCCTAGCTCATAATAGAGGCTCAGTAAATGTCTGTTCCTTTCATCTTGATGTGTAGAAAGTATTTTTGGTTTGTCAGGCAGGAACAACTAGTTATACCAAAACTACATTCTCTAAGGAAAATTTCTAACTTCTGTCTAGATTGTTAAAAATTAGAAATTAAAAAATTCTAATAGAAGTATAGTTGATGTATAATATTAAATTAGTTTCAAGTGGAGGTGCCTGGGTGGCTCAGTCGGTTAAGTGTCTGACTTCAGCTCAGGTCATGATCTTACGGTTCGTGGGTTCGAGCCCCGCGTCAGGCTCTGTGCTGACAGCTAGCTCAGAGTCTGGAGCCTGTTTCAGATTCTGTGTCTCCCCCTCTCTGACCCTTCCCTGTTCACGCTGTCCCTCTCTCTCAGAAATCAAAAAATAAAAAAATAAACATAAAAAAAAACTAGTTTCAAGTGTACAACCTAGTAATTCAACAATGGTATATGTTATGAAATACCATGATGTGTATTACTCTATTATTGACTATATTCCCTCTGCTTTACTTTTCATCTTGGCGACTTACTTTATAACTGGAAGTTTGTGTTTCTTAACCCTAAACACCCATTTCACACATACACACCCTCCTTTGGAAACCACCAGTTCTCTATATTTATGAGTCGGTTTCTCTCTTTGTAGTTGTCTGTTTGTAGCTTGTGACAATGTGAATATACTTGAATATATTTTCACTTGGCTAAGTGAAAATAATCCACATAGAGAAAGACAAATACCATATGATTTCACTTGTATGTGGAATCTAAAAAACAAAACAAATGAATAAAGAAATTTTAAGAGCTCCCAGAACATTGTCAGGCAGATCATTACTCTCCAGGGGATGGTGAAAGCCTATTCCTGGCAGTTGCAAGCAAGTGAACACCTGAAGATGCTGATATCAGGGGCTCCCAACAAACAGTCTGCCTAGATCACCCTGTAGTGAAGCTCAGAGTTAATGACCCCTTCAGAATTTCAGATACCTTTATTGAGATATAATTCACATACCACTCAATTTACCAATGTCTAAGGCCACAGTTTAATGTTATTTAGTATATTCATAGATTTGTGCAACCATCACTATAGTAAATTTTTAAACATTTCCATTATGCCCAAAAGAAACCCTATATTCGTTAGTAATCATTCCCCTTTATCCCTTCTTTCTTCTCCCTTCCCCCCCAAACCCATCACTAGGTAACTAGTAATCCATTTTCTGTCTGTATAGATTTACCTATTCAGGGCATTTCATATGAATGGAATGATACATATGTGGTCTTTGAGACTGGCTTCTTGCTCTTAGAACAATGTTTTCAAGGTTTATATATCCTGTAATATGGATCAGTACTTCATTCCTTTTCATTGCCAAATGCTGTTCCTATATGGATCTACCACATTTTATCATCTGTTCACCAGTTGATGGACATTAGAGTTGTTTTCATATTTTGGCTATTAAGAATACTGTTGCTGTTAACATTAATGTACATGTTTTTGTGTGGACGTATTTTTTCGTTTCTTTTGGGTATAAACCTAGGAGTTAGTTGGAATTGTGAGTCATTTGGTAACTATGTTTAACATTTTGAGGAACTTCCCAACTGTTCTGCAAAATGACTGTGTCATTTAACATTCTCATCAACAATGTTTGAGGGTTCCATTTTCTCTACATCCTTGCCAATACTTGTTATTGTTTGTCTGATTGATAGGCTATTCTACTGAGTGTGCAGTGGGATCTCATTGTAATTTTTTTTTTACATTTTGTAATTGAAGTATAATTAACATACAATGTTTTGTTAGGTTCATGGGTACAGTATATATACTTGACAATTCTATATATTACTCAATGCTTACCATGATAAATGTAGTCACCATCTGTAACCGTGAAACATTCTTACAATATCATTGATGATATTCCCTAGTATACTTTTCACCTCTGTGACTTATTTATTTTATAACTTGAAGTCTGTACCTCTTAGTCCCCTTTATTTATTTCATCCATCTACACACCCACATTCCATCTGGCAAACACTAGTTTGGTCTCTATATTTAAGAATCTGTTTTTGTTTGTATGTTCATTTGTTTTTGTTTTTAGATTTCAAAAATAAGTGAAATCATATGGCATTTGTCTTTCTCTGTCTGACTTATTTCACTTAGCATAATATTCTCTAGGTCCATTCAAGTCACAAGTGGCAAGACCTTATTCCTTTCTATGGCTGAGTAATATCTCATTGTATATGTAAACTACACGTTTATCCATTCATCAAAGGACACTTAGGGTTACCTACATATCTGGGCTATTTTAAATAAGTCTGCAGTATACATAGTGGTGTGTATATCTTCTAATTAGTGTTTTTGTTTTCTTTGGGTAAATACCTAGTAGTGGAATTACTGGATTTAATGGTATTTCTATTTTTAATAGAAATTTTAATTTTAATGTTTTACGGAACCTCCATACTGTTTTCAAGAGTGGCTGCACCAGTTCACAGTCCCACCAGCAGTGCACAGGGTTCCCTTTTCTCCATATCGTGTCAATACTTGTTATTTTTTGTCTTTTAGGTGCTAGCCATTTTGACTGGTATTAGGTGATATCTCATTGTGGTTTTGATTTGCATTTCCCTGATGAGTATTGATTTTGAGCATCCTTGAATATATCTGATGGCCAATTATTTGTCTTCTTTAGAAAAATCCCTATTCAGATCCTCTGTGTATTTTTTTAATGCTTATTTATTTCCTTTATTTTGTTTAGGAGAAAATATACTTT